CGTGCCTACACAAAAATTCAACAAGGTTGTTCTGCGTGGTCGAAAACTTTTACTGGAGTTGTGTGTTCAGCACAAGCCCATTAATGGATTCAACTATTAATTCATACGTTCTAAGCAGTAGAGCTTCTTGTGAAAGAGTGTAAACAGTAATGTGAGTGTATTTTGGTTTTGAGGGACAAGGGTGCGGGTGCAATCACAGGTACATGGAACTTGTCAACTTATGTGTCTACCTAGAAGGCGGCTAAGAGACAAAATATTTTTTTGTGATATCATAAAAAACCTCTCCTCTCTCTCCTACTCCAGTTTTGGAATATTGATTAAACGTTAAGGTGAGTTCCGATAAGCAGAACACGTTAAATAATTTTGACTTTTTAAAAGACAACTTTGTGTTCTATCTTTTGCTACTTAAAACTTTCCTATTTGTCACTTAACCGCCTTTTAGTTAGTGGACGGCAGAGTGGCAGTCCTCTCTCGGATCTTTTCTTTAACGCACTAGGGAAACCTTGTATCGCCAGTGCCATGGACACACACATAGCCAACCACAAATTATACCCAAACTCACGAGAGAAATAAATGTAGGCTATGCAAATATTTCTCCCGGCTCGGGAATCCGGGACCTCTCCGTAGCAGAACAGCATGGAAACCTTTCGGCCAGTTCTTTGTGATTTTAAAGTCTTGAGTGGTACTACAACTGTTATGGACAGGCGTGTTGCAGGTGGTATACCACCAGGCGTACGACTTGTTCGTCCCGTCACTTGATTTTCTTAAAAGGTTATTCCCTATGTACATTACTTAATTGTAATATATATTATAGTAACTAGATATAAGCGTTTAGTCCCGCAGTTAGTATACTCACCTTATTTAGTAAACTAGTTCGTACAACAATAAACAAATTGCATGTTAAAATGAAACTTGTAAATAAGGAAAAACTTAAATGTTTATCAACACGAGACGAGTCGTTAACCTAAATTGCGATTGCAGGGCCTACGTGGGCCCGTATGCGTATCACCAGACTTGATACAGGGTCATATTAAGGGGACTTTAAAGGGGCGCACTTTCCTGGGAAAATGTACGCCTGCTTCAACATTGATAAAAGTCCAAGATGGCAAACTTGGCAAATAAAAATGTGACTGCTACGGAAAATGTAGACGACTAAAAACTCTACCGATCAGCCATCAGAAAACATATAATGTAACTTCAAATTAATATTTTGTAACATTCATCTGAATATTTTAAATTTTGTACGGAAAACCTGGGAAGTTTGAAAATAAATCCGTAAAATGATTATTTTTACATATGACGTTGTTGAAACCAGTGTACAAATACGCGTTGGAGCCGTATGCAAGTTTTACAAGTAAAACTTCATAAATCACTCTACTTGCAATTGTTCTTTCTATTAATAAGTATAATTAGCAGTAGTTAATTTGTAAGGTTATGTATTAATATAATAATTTAGTATAGTAGATATTAAGGTAGGCTGTTTAAATAATATCGTAGATATTAAAGTAGCCTGTTCATCATCTTAAAATTATATAAGAGCAATATTACCATTAATATTATAGAAGAGCGATGTAACGGGGGGGAAATCTTTATGGATATGAGCCCAGGGAGACTCAGGGGTTATGTGGGGACTCTCCCTCCAGTCTGGGGGGACTACCCCACTAAAACCCCCCGGGTTTCCCTCTCGCCGGTTGAGTCGGCGCCGTGGGATCGGTGAACATTCACCACGATGCCGCCCGGCCGCCCTAGCTTGCGTCAGGGCTCTCGCGCCAACGGAGGGGCGAGTCGGTTGTCCTCCGACCCGCCCCCCAGACGAGTGAGACCGTGCAATGCAGGCTCCGGAGTCCCTATCCAGAGCCCGCTGGCCTCACTAGGGGGTCAGGCGAGCAGCGAACTGCCTTCGCCTTCTCCACATACGTCTGCGCCGAAGCGGGTGCGCGTCCGCCGCGTCCTCGCGCACCCGCTCCGCGGCCTCCTTTTGCGACATAACCTCTGCGCAAAAGGAGGCCACCGCCTCCCAGGACTCCTCGCTACCGAGCATGGCGGCAACCACGCTCGGCAGCGAGAGGTCCTGAGAGCGATGTTTCCTAACACAGGCCCTAACAAGCCTAAATGGAAACATCCGCCCCTGTACTATGCACTTTAAAATGAACGTATAAAACATTTTTTTAAATTTTTTTTTTATTATTATTTATGTATTGTTCCACTTTGAAACTTAAAGACACCTGTGGTGATTATTACACTTATCTTTTGATAAAGAGAGGAGAAAAAATTCTTATTTAGTCTTCCTAGAAACTTATCCAAAAAAAAAAAATAGAAGACTTTGTAATTATGATTGAAATTAAGAATTTATTGCTGTACAATTTGTTAATGTTTTTTTTTTCGATTGTTGTTTTTATTACAAACAAAATCTGCACGTCCGAAAGTAATGTGTAATCTTCATAGGAAATTAAACGTAGATGGATATTACTTATTGTACTCAGATAGCGTGAGCGCTAATATGTAGCTGACAATTACTTTCCAAGGGGCGCCAATTTCGTGAGCCCGTCTCTGTATAAAGCCACAGAATCGAGCAATCAATGTCAATAAAACTATCGAAATATTGCCCAAAATGTTTGCTTACGATAAGTGCCGGTTATTACAAAGGAATAGAGTTCATATTTAAACGAAAAGTTAAACATTCATATGCCGTAAAGTACAAAAATAATAAGGGTCAATAAAAACAAAGTGATAAGGCATTTTTATATATATTTTACGTTTTTTATTCTCTTTTTTAGACATCTATGCGCTACTTGCACGTAGGTATGAGATAATAAAGTACAGCATGGGGTAGGGATATTCCAGCAACAGAACAGGGTACTTATTGTAGGTTTTCGGTATAGTTGTCCGTGTTGATAGCATAATTTAGAGCCTCCGCGGACAAACGGTTACCACGCTGGACTGCAACGCGGAGGTCCTGGGTTCCATTTCCAGACCGGCAGGAATATTTGTATACCTACATTTATTTCTCTCGTGAGTTTGGGTGTAATTTGTGGTTGTCTGTCTGCGTCCATGTTTAGGTTTCATAGGGCTATGACAGTGTACGGTAATATTATTATTATATTATAAATAAAACTCAAATAAAAAGAAATATTGCAGACAATTTACAGATCGTTTTGTTAGTATACTTACTAACCATTTAGACTTATACAGAATGAAAAAAAAAATTAAAATCAATGAATGAATTAATGAATGAAATGACTACATGATACCTGCTTTTGCACACTGGACCAAATACAAAATAATAGAAAAAATAATAAAAAGAAACTTACAACTTAGCAATCTCTTCCAGGCAACCTTCGGATTACAGGAAAAACTGTGATATAGTAATTAATTGAGGGCGCTACAGAATACGTATTTAATACACATATTGCACATACACAAGAAAAAAAGAAGAATCATCAATCAATTTCATAAAACAGATATCCAACATAATAGTAATAAATAAATAAATAACAAAAAATATATATTATTACACAAAATGAAAGTCGGATTATATAAAACATAATAATAACAACGCATAATATCTAAAACAGGTAAGAATAGAGAAAAAATAAATAATTAGAGTGTAAGATAATGAGCTTTGACCATCTCACCTGATGGAAAGGACGATGAGGTCGAGGATGTAGCATGCATACCTAAATAATGCCTATTCACTCTGGCGTTGAAAAGGTCCAAGTTATAGCGTTCGGGGAACAAGTCTGCAGGCAGGGAATTCCACTCCCGAGTCGCTCGCCATACAAATGTGGAAGCGAAACGCTTCGTGTGAATCCGGGGAATATTCACAGCATAGGGGTGGAACCCCCGCCCACGTCTAGTCTCCCGATGATGCAAAGGGGAAGGCGGAATCAAATTATGCAATTCCATCGCACACTCTCCGTGATATATCCTGTAGAATACCGATAAGCCGGCAACTCAACAGACTTAGCGCATCTGATCGATTCAGGCAGAGAATTCCGCAGCTGGATGCTTCTAACCTTGGATCATAATATTTTTGTACAATTTGTTACTTCTTCTTTTGACCGCAAAGGGACACTATACAATTAGGCATAAATACAAAAGTATTTTGTATACTTATATATTTTGTGTATGAATATTTATGAAGTATTTATGGTGCTGCACTCATGGTGGAGACACTGTAAACCAAAAAAAACCAAGTGTTTGGTTAGTAGACCTATAAAAATCCCGGTACGCCTCTATGACCAACTTGTAAATTTTTTTTGGGAAACAGTCTAACATTGGTTTTCATTGCTGAACATGCAACTGAGGAAACTTAAGAGAGAATTTAAGAGGAAACTTGTAACCATTAGTGGGATATATATGAATTTAAATAGAAAGGCAAATAGTGTTGCCAGGTATTCCGATTGCAAGGGACGTCCCATTTCCATGATGAGTTCAAAAACCCGTCATGGGAAAAAAGCTCGTTCGGGACGTAATTTATTTTTTTATTTTTTCTAAAAAATTTTTTTCTAAAAAGTTTCTTATAATTATTAAGACAAATAATCTGCAACAAGCACATACAAAAATCTGTAACGTCTGTTGGTTCTTACCGTAGGTAGTTCAGTTAGGAGAGCGTCAGGCCCGGTATGGTGCCATGCAGTCCACGATCCAAAACTCAACTAGTGACAAATGGTCACATATCCGCTTTAAAAAAAAAATAGATCACAAAGTCTCTTTTGAAAACAGTTAAAATTATTTAACGCTGCGTATCTGGTGCATTTTACTGATGAGTTTTAAATGGCGCCGTATAAACACCGGGATATTCCAAGACAAAAGATGTCATAAAAACTGCATCTTAAAGTAGAAAACGCAACCTTGAAAAGCAACACAACTTATTAAAACTAGATAAAGGAGATAAATGCACTTACGATGTTTTAACACTCGACCTCAAGTTACCGGTTAAAAAAAAACAACGACCCCCACCGGCTACGAATAAAACCGAACGCACATTCTAAATTCAAACCAGTCTGTTCAACCACGCTTCGGAAGCACTACGTAAATTTGTTATAAAAATTTGGATATTTTTTAAGAAAGTGTGATTTTTAAAACTTATGAAAAATTGTTCAGATACGTGAAGTGTCGTTTTTTAGGCAAAATGGCGATTTCTGTTTTGAGAATTGGATGGAGAGCAGCTGCTAATTTAGAGAAGGCAGCTTTATTTTCTTGTACCAGTGCAACCAATCAATTCAAGGTATTGGCCTTACTTAATTTACGTAATTAGCTAAATATTAATTAAAAAAATACATCTTTACGCTAAGGCAGACAAAGCAAGCGGTGGCTTCCCACCTCAAAACAAACAAATTCAAAATGTCTGACGATTCAAAGTAGTCGATATTTCTTTTCTATGTTAAGTTATAATTCACAACAAACATTTTTTATACTTGGTTGCGAAACTTTCATGTTCATTGATAATTTGTAACCAGAAAGATAAGGAATAATTTTCCGGTCTATTTATAAAGTCCGACGCGCATGAGACCACTTCTTACTTATCTTGTCTAGTCTATATTATGAACAAAATAGTGATTAAACCTATTGCAGATCTTACTTAAGAATGAAATAATCTAAAGATGTAACAACTTATCAGTTACTGCATGTGGGTTCACATTTTAATTAGAACGCAGTCAACGTAATACAACATGGCTTCTCTGACGATGCCGCCGATTTATCTAAATGCTTATCCATATGGAGTTGGAGAAATGCAATTAAATGCATTTAAAATCATTGTGTTATTACTTAACCAAAAGTTGGTTTCTAGTTGTTTATTGTTTTTTTAGAGAGTTATTGTGATTTAGAGTTTTTAAAAGTTAAGAAATAAAGGCCGCGTACACGTACCTGCATTTTGCCGACAAAAAAGAACTTAATTGCAACTACACATTTTTTACGATTTTCGACCATTGGTCTAGGCCAGAGGTTTCCAGACTTTTTTCTCATAGACTACTTTCAAAATTTAGCTGGTTCCGGTGGACCCCCTTTCTACCATATTCCCAAAACTCGACAAAAAATTTGAAGATTAGATCTAACTATGGAAATTTGCCACGCAAATTGCTGAGTTCCAACCACAAACTAATAGTTTTCCAAAAAAAAGTGAGAATTTAATTGATTGTGCTGCCAGTGGATGTCAAAAAAGTAAAAACACGTTGTATAGAATATGGAATATGCAAGTTTTTACAAGTAACAGTCGCTGAGCTTCTTAAATATTATCTGCCTGCATTGATAGGTGAAGTCAAGCCAACATTTTAGTTCTTCGCTACTTACGAATTGTGAACCCCCATTTTTTTGTCACGCGAACGTAGACCCCGTCGAGTTCAAAAAGAGTTCCCGTGGACCCCTGACCACTTTGGGAACTAAGGATCTACTTTGCAAATAGGTATTTTATTCTAAAGTAACTTGCTTATCTTTAACTCACTAAATTAGTTACATTGTCGTTTATGTTCATGTTAGTATCTACCTTTTATAGTTATCCAATATAAAATAACAACACAGATAAACTTAAGGACCTTATTATCAGCAGTACCCAATTAGCCATTCATACTACTTTAATACTTAAAATCACATACGTAAGTGTCAAAAAGGCATATTGCTGGTATTCTATCAATGTTAAATGATAATATACGAATGTATTGTATGTTAATTTTAGGTATGCGGTTTAATTCGTTGGACATTGTTTTGTATTACTTACCATACATTTCCGTTGAGTTTGAATGAATACTTTGTATGGTTTTTTCACAGTAAGAGATTCTTATTAAGACCCGCGTTAAAGGGATAAAAAAAAGCTTCATGGCCATGTAATATAAGTAATTAGACAACATATCATAGTTGCTCTGATCCCAGAGTAATTAACTAAAGCACTTTTGTTATTGTAATTGGAAATAACGACAGTTGTTTCGGATTTGGGAGTTTGAGGTCCGTCTTTGTTTCCGATTAATCGTCGGTTACATATATAAAAAATTAATCACTTCCCTGACAGCTTATTTACATTGGACCCACTAAAACTAACACCATAATTGTTATTATATTGAAACACTTAAAAAATATATACATATAATATATAATAAAAAGGAACGTATAACTATACATATTATTAATTAAAGTAAATGTTTCCCACGGCGCTGGTATTCTGCCAGAACCGTGTTTAAAGAGACGCCACTCGTCTTCTAAGACAGTCCTCTGCCCTTATCGTTTAATCGGATATCACTTGAAATGGAAATAAAGACAGACCACAAGCTCCTAGATAACATAGCGAAGTTAGTTTTCTAACTTACTAAGACAACAACTGGTAGGACGAACAAGTCGTGCGCCTGATGTTAATTAACAAGTCATAGCAGTTGCAGTGCCGTTGTGAGCTTTAACATATTAACATTTTGACAAATAACATAAAAAGTTGTATTTGGTAAACACATGTCTAAATGGCAACAGTCAGTCGATAACACCAACCAGTCTTTCGCGTAACGCGTTGAACCGGTTAGTGATGTAAAAAATTCACACACTCATAATAATAAACAACTTTCGCGAATTAATGAGCAAAAACATTCAAAAATGTCACACATATGGGAAGATATGAGGTCGAATGCTACCAAGATGTGATTAGTCCGGATTTTAGTTTCATGAATTTTTTTCACGGCTCAAAATCGTGGACGATACTGGACGAAAAAGATAGATGCCTTCAAAATATGTTTTTTGTTTAAAAATTGTATGTCTGTTCTAACAAATCTGTGTTTAACAAAGCTATCCTAGAACAAAGAGTAAAAACCAGACTATCGAAGATGTGCTGCCAAAGGATTCTCGGTTACGTCGATCATATTGTCCACTGACAATCCGACAACTTCGACAAATTTGTTCTGGTGGATAAGATGGGGGAAAAAAGTCATCGCGGCAGAACGCTTCGGCGTTGGTGCGTCCAACTCATTGTCCTCACAGGTTTTTCTGTTTTTACCGTTTTGAGAGAAACCGAAAATCGAGCGAAATATGAAGATAATGCAGCAGACGACCTTCTGTAATGAAGATCACGACTAAAAAGAAATAAATTAATATTACGAAATATCCGCAAACAATCTACATCTAAGTACGATTGCAAGGAGAAATATGACCGAGATGTTTTGTTATTAGACATCCCACTGGTGAGCATGGACACCTTATGCAGAGATATGCTAATAAACCTGCCTTGGACTGGCGTTACATTGAACACAAACGATTTATTTTTATATTTAGATCTCTGAATAACAACTTTATGACCGCTTCATACGACCTATCAATGGAAATGAATGAACGCGGGATATATGGTATGAAGACTGATTGTTTCATTCGTCACTCGATTTGACCTCCAATGAACATTACACGCCAACTTAATTTCTTTGTCATTTTCTGTTATTTTTGTAAACAGCCATTGACTTACAAATAAATGGACGACGGGTCTAATACAAAAACCACGATAAAAATGTCCCAAGTCAACCTATGTATTTAAACGTAGTGACACGTAAAGGAATATGAAAAAGTTAAAACGTTGAATTTAAATTGTAATGTCATCGCAGTGTTGTTTAATTTTGCTTGCTTCGCTGTCAGTCGAACAAACGAAGACTAAAGCGTGAATGACGCTCTGTATACGATTTTAACGCCCTATAAGTTCGGACACTTTTTAGCGCAACCCGACGTCCATATAATTGTAAGTCAATGTAAACAGCCATATTTATTTACTAACTTTTTTACCTATTATGCTCCCCGAATTATGGAGAAAAAAATAAAGAAACAAAAAACAAAATTCGAAAAAAAAACAATATGACGAATTTTGTGAAAAAAAAAATAAAAAACAAAAAACACAATTGTAACTTTTTCATTGAAAAAAAAACCGTCCTCAAAAGTTTGCTTATCGGGTTTTTTCAATGTCCATGGGATACCCTCATCCGATTCTGACTTCTGGATGACAACGAGTCTGTTACGGACCCCTTTGTACATTTTAAACGTCGTGGTGACTGTGATTTGTTGACTACATGTATTGGCTCAAGTGAATAGTCGTCTATTAATTGCGGAATATAATTAGTAATTTGTGATAGCCGAAACGGACCCGGAACAGTTTCCTCGGCACCAGGGACCGCCTCGAGAGTATACCTTTTCAAATAAATAACGAATTTTCGAAATTGGTCCACAATTGATGGAGGAAATAGGTATGTACACTGACATGCCTATAAAAATTGCGAATTATCCCCAATTCCCATGGATCCCTCATCATCAGATCTTTCAAACAAAAAAGAATTTTCAAAATTGACGCAGAAATCTGAAAACATACATACAGCCGAACGTATAAATAATCTCTTCCTATTTTTGAAGTAACTTAAAAATGAAAACTGAACAGGTCCAAAAATTAAGTTGGCGTAATGTTCATTCGAGGTATCGAAATATGGCTGTCCGTTTTCTATCTCATTTCGAGACACCTTGTGGGAATCTCACAGTGACCTTAATTTTGTCTTTAGGTATCTGGTCGTTTGACTCTGCGTCATTGTCATTAGATCTTTTGTTCTATATTGTTATTCAAAAGAAGAACTCGTTGTAAAGTACAACTGACCGAATAACAGTGCCCAACAAGTCAATGTCCTTACCACAAGTAACTTAATCGACATTTTTAACGAAATTGAAACGAAACGAGATCATAAACCCTCTCTAATCGGTTTTTTAATATCTTATTAGTTTATATAAGGAAATTAGGTAAATGACGAACCACCATTGAAGCTACGCAATACGAGACTGGCTTTTATTGTCGAACGAAGGTTTATAGAAAATAGAATATTAATAGATACCCACATATATACCACTTATTAGTTTCAGTTTTATAAAATCAGAGTACCTATATGACATTTTACATTAGCAAAAAAAACTTTAAGTGTTAATAAGTATCTCGAAAATTACCGAAATGCAAAAGCGTTACAAGGAGAGTAGAACACGTCTTCTATTGAATGTAGAGGTCATTACAGTGTCCATTTGGTAAGATCCATTATATTTCAGATAATATTTGAGGAGCTGTGTTTTTCAAAGATTAATCGTCAACCAATTATACGTTCCATTAATAAATGTTTTTATTAGTTAATTGAAAATAGTACTACGAATAAAATTTTAAATTTAAACCGTAATTATTTGTGCCGAACTGAGAGATTCAAGAGCCAGCTCTTGAGTCGCAGTTCGACAACAATTTCCAGAAACTAC